GGATACAAAAGAAAGAAATGGCTGAGGAGACCTAAGAAATAGAGCAGCATATGTGACGACCTCTCTTTCTCTGCAGCTATATTCAATTCCTTGCAGACATAACTTCAAAATATAGAGATATACTTTCCTGTCTCAATTCTACCCAGCTTGATGTCACCTTGCTTTTGTTGTCTAAAATACACCAACCAGAAATAAAGAACAACAAAACAGACTTTGTTCTTTTTGCCATGATAATTTAAAGCTTTAGTTATTTAAGTCTCCACACAATTATTTACTCCCTCATTTTGGATCTGTTTTGTCAAATGTGATTAATTTTTTTCGTGAATCTCTCTTGATATGCTTTGTGGAAGTCGCTGTCTCAAACACCTCTCAGCACCAGATATCCTAGGCTGTGTTTTAGCTGTGGGAAAGGGAAGTGTAGGTGGAATTCATGCCTTCAGGTTCTAAAAGCAAGTCTCACTCTTAGCTCAAGCAAGGCTGTACTTGTATTGCACGGATGAAGCTTTTTTTTATCTGTTTAAATGTTAATGAAGCATTACTAGCTGGGCACTTCAGGTGCCAGGGTCATCTTTTTCTGTGGGTTCTGTATAATCAATGGAGACACACTGACTCCTCCTATGACTCACTTGCTGAAAGAGCCTGCCTACCTACCCTAGGGATGCAGAGCTTGAGAGAGATTATCCTCCCCTACTCCGAACTCCTATATTAGGGGATATAAGTAATTCATATTCTTTTGATAAACTGCAACTAATTCTAAGGATAGGAAACAGACTCAAATAAGTAAAGGAAGTTTATTAACATAGATTTTCCTGGGGAGTCTTGTCTTATATCCACAGATCGTGGAGTGAATGAATGCAATGAGATGTCTGTATTTGGGAAATGTGGCATTCTCCCGACAAAAAGAAGCTTATGATAGGGAAAATTAGCCATTGTGGGGGTTTTTGTTTTGTTTTGTTTGTTTGTTTTAAATATGATTGTCCTGTTAAAGAGCATGCATCTGTACAAGCAAGTAGACTTTGTGCTCTGTGGATTTAGATCTGGACACAGGGAAGAGAAGTGGATACATACTTTTTGTCTGTAAATATAACCTTCTGCTAAATAGCTCAAAAACATGTTAGAAATTGGCCAGTACCAATATCACTGGTAACCTCTAATTCCAAAAAGTGCTGTACCCACAAAATCAGGAACAACTTTTTTGGCAGTCAATTCCTTTTTTGAATTGAACATGACCTGTTAAAAGAGAGGCCAAGGACTTTGCGACAAATGGTACAAAGTAATTTCTTGTCAAAATTTGCTGTATAATTTCCCCCATCAGGAAGTCCTCTTTGCGAGATGTAAAAATAATTCTACTGTCCATCTTAGTCCTGTACAATGAAATGCTGGAGCTAGACCAAAGTGGCAGTTGTTTAAAATTAAAGATTAAATAATTACACAGATTTATGCACAAAAAGAATGCTGGGGATAATGTGTTCAGTCTGCATCAGCCAATGACACACATCACAGCATACAGTATCCTGTCACATTCTAGTATTGTATATAAATGTCAACTCTGCTATTTATTTTCAATTTAAAATGCATTAATATTAGCTCTATCATGCTGACAAATCTTATAATGAAGAGAGTTGATTAATTTTTTTTTTTCCTGAAGGACGGGCAAAGACAAGCACGGATTTCAATGCAATGATGAACATGTCTCATTATTTTATTGGGAACTTCATTCATTCATCCAGTTCTTATTCATGGCAAAATAATCTATAAGCAAAGACACGAAGAACGAGAGATGGGAGCTAAACACATAAGAAAAATTGCTAGGAAATGTTAAAGAAAAGCCAAGAACAATGTTTTTATTTTTATATACTTTGATACCTATGATTAATTGCTTTACGTTATGACTAATTGCTTTACCTGTATTCATCAACTTTTTGTTAATTTTAAATTGCTTTACACTTTTCAAAGGTTATACAGACATTATTATTTAATCGCTTGGTTTACTTGACCACAGAACAAATCACTGGATTGATTGATTGATTCATTGATTTGTATTTTCTTTAGCAAACAAAAGACAGTGCTATCATGGAGTGGTGTGTTTTTAAGTATATGCAAGGTCACGTTTTAACTTTACCTATTCCAAACACTTGAAAACGCAGGATTGAGACTGAGAAAATCACAAGGCTAGATTAATTATCATGTACTCTTATAAACCAGCGCATTCAGGATTCATCTTCACAAAACAAAGAATCAGACTGAGGGTCTGGTTTCAACAACAGTTTTTGTGAGCAAAAAGTATAAGGCAGTTACTGAATGAAAAGTTGCTTTCATTGAAGAAATGGTCGCTAAAGACTCTATGATATGGTGATGCTGAAGCATGTCCAGAGAATCATGGGCTAGGATCACTGGGTAATCCAGGAGGGAGGGGGCCTCAGGAGATCTCTAGAGCCCCCTCTGCTCAAAGCAGGGCCACCTGTGAGGTCAGAACGGGTTGCTCAGGGCTTTGTCTTGAACCCCCCCAAGAACGGAGCCTGCACAGCCTCCCTGTCCCACTGCTGGTGATCTTCATGGGGGAAAAAGTATTTTCTGACAATCTTCTGGAACCTCTTTTGTTTTAAGTTATGTCTGTTCTCTTCTTGCTGTGAAGAGCCCGGATCTGTCTTCTCACTGACCTCCCTGTAGATACTGTTAGATTGCTATTAGACCCTCTAAACTTCAGAGATGCCATCACTTGATGTTCACTCATCGATTAGCAGTCACACTCAGAGAAAGTGTTTAAGGCTTGATAAACATTGAGTCTGATCCATCAGGTTTTTTCTTAGATTTTTCAGATTTTTCAAAAAATAGTAATTTTTCTTCCTTGCATACTGATCAAAAAGGGGCTGAATTCATATAAGGTAATTGCTGAAAGAGTTTGAGGCAATGGAAAGCAAATTTAAACAAATTCACTGAACTCTTCTGTAACCTACAAATAGACTGCTTTTGAACAAAAGAGGAGATTCTTATCTAGTCAAAGGATTTGATTAATCTTACACCAGTGTAATTTCAGATTTCAAATAAAGCATTACATTTTGTGAATTTTGATTGATAGAAATTGTAAGATATGGCAACTGGCACAAGATGTGCTAGACTTATATGGTCTTTTCCAAAAGTTGTTCCTCCTCTGTTTCTGTAGAAAAGATGAAGGAAATTTTTCAAATTGGGAAAGTTTCTGAAGAGCAGAGAAAGCAGCAGTGGCAAAAGACAAGCAAGGCCAAAGAGTTTGTTACTAACAGTCACGAGTTGTATCATGCTGTTACTTTAAAGCATAATTCCATCACAGAATTAATAATAGTTGTTTAATGTTATTAATTTGCAGCACAGTACAGCTCAGTACAGATACTTTGTACTTCTAAATTTACAGTTCTCAAAGGCACTGTCAACACTGGGTAACTCTCACCACCCACAGCGAGACATGAAACATGTTTGACAAATGTGTAAAAAGTAGAGAGTAAAAGATCAACAAATGTAAATATGGGAACCTAATATTAATCCCTTAAAGTAATACATATGCACACAAAGAAGGGGCCTATTTCTACTTCATTAACAGTGACTAAACTGCTCCACATCCACTCACAAAAGACATAAGGCAAGATTTTAAAGCAGAATCTTTCTCTGCTGTTTTCTAATTAAAGACAAAAGTGCTGAGGGCACACAATGTAATTAATTAAAATGAGCACAAGGTGATTGAAAGCAAATTTAGAGAAATTCACTAAATTCTTTTGGAGCTTAGATCAATAATGTATGTTCAATTAATGCTTAATCGTAAATTATTTCTGTGGTAAAATATGGGTTTTGCTTTAAATAAAGAATGAGACATGCCAGGAAATAAATAAGGTATTATTGTTCAGCTTTGAGGACCACATTGTATTCTGGCCATTATCCAATCATGGGATCACAACACACATCCAGATGCTGATCAATATCTTCTCATTGAACAGGCCTGAACTAAAGGGGCTAATTCTCATGTTTGTAGAGGAGCTTTTACATTCCTACAAGGAATATGCAATATATTCCAATAATTTTTCAAAGTGTGCAAAGGGACATTTGTGGAAATGTATTCAGGAGACTTAGGCAGTTAGTAAATGGTTTGCTTTGTCCCTTGTGCTGTCTCCATTCTGAAGGTCATGTTCACTTTTTCTCCTCAAGTAGCCTGTACTTTGGCTTATCTCAGCCCTAAAGCATCAGTGAGAAAGCTGAGAGCTAAATCTTCTTTTGCAGTACAGCTTCAAAGTGTAGAACAGGAACTGGGGAAACAAACTGAAGTTAAACTGTGTCATATATGCCATCTATGCCAAATCTGTTTTCACTTTGGTTTCTTAATTTGACCACAAAGGATTACTTTTAACTCCCAGTACTGTTAGGATGCTTCAAAACATTTACTTTTTTTTATGTATTACTATTTCTCTGCAGAGTTCTTCAGTTTGCACTGCAGCCTTTTTTTCCTTTCAACTACATTTTCTGTGCAAGTGCATTCTATACCTGGACATGACCGCTGGTCAGTCAGAGTCTTACATATTCTGTATTTATTATCTCTGCTTTCAATTAAAACTGAACAACTTATGTAGTTTCAGGGTTAAAAAAGCATAAACACTATAAAAACATCAGGAAGCGAAGGGAAGAGCTGTTCAGGGATATCACTATTCACCTAGGTTCAGCAGCTATTTATTTTCTAAATGGGCCAAATGTGTGAAAAGTTAGGACCGGTCATGTCAGCCCAGTCAGGAGGAGCCTGGCGGTGTTCCTGGCTGACCGGCTTCTGCTAAGGGGAAGAAATTAGGGGAAGAAAAGGTTCCTATCTCCCTGCCCATTTGAGGATGACAGCCTTGCCCGTTCACCACCCCTGCCGCGGATGCTCCCCGCGGGCTGCGAACCCCACTTCTCTCTCATTTGGTGGCACTGCTTCCTTTACGCCCCCCTCTGCTCCCCACCACGGATAAATTGCACGTCCCCGGACAGCTCAGAGCACTAACCCCCTCCTTTTGGTAACCCGGCAGTTTTCCCTGAGTCGCATTTCCCCCGAACCCTGTTCGGTCCAGCTTCTGATTAAACCGAAGGGCGATGGAGCAACGACAGCAGCGGGGTCCTGAGCGTCCCCTCGCAGCTGCAGACCTCTGCCTTTTCTTCTGCAAATCTGAGCGTTTCGCAGGTGGAACGGGCCACCCGTTTCCATCAGAAATAGCTCTGTCCGTTTTAGAGCACGTGCCTGCACTCCTGCCAGCTTCGCTGGGGTTTATGCTCTGGTCTGCAGGACCAGCAGTGCCGCTTTCATCGCCGTTTCGCAAGAAGCCTGTTTGTAAACCTTGTTTTTCACTGATTAAAGAGGAAACTTGTTGAAACTGTAGGATATTGCAGCGTAACCCAGAAAAATTCTTAAATCACTTGACATTCGTGTGTAAAGGAACTCTTCTGTCACATTGGGAAAGTAAGTTTCTTGCCAACTTAGCCTCGCTCGGTTCCCTTAAGTGTCAATCCTTTGCGCACCGATAGATTGCTTAAAGAAATCTTATAAAGTCTGAAGAGAAGCTACTTGCTATTTATGCCATAAAGACTTTTTGCAGCTCTGAGGAGCTGAAATGTGACCTGTTTGTTTCACTGCGGTGCACAGCAGCACGCATGAGAAATCAGCCAAGAGAAACTTAAAAGGAAATATTGAGCTGCTCCCTGTCTTTTTAAGCACTCTAATCTCTTAATAAGAGTTGGCAGGTGCTAACGGTTTTGCACTGATTTCTTTCTCCTTTTTCGGCTCTCTCAGTTCTGTGGAGGTAGATTCATTTTCTGGGTTCATTAAGTATTCCTTCACCTGCCTTGAAATGGAACTGCAGGCCCTTTGATAAATAGATTAAAAGGTTATCTAATTTCACTGTTGCTCCTACAAGTATCTTTGTTTTCTCTGATGAAATGCTCTTTTGTAGCTTTCTAGAGCGGTAACCTCCGTGCATCACAATAAATGTCCCTACTCCTCCCACAGCAAAACCAAATGAGGGTGGGAAGGAAACGCTCTGCCTTAATTCTTCAGCAAAGACGTTCAAAGCAGTGCTAAACAACGGCACTCTCCTCTGTGCTGATTTCAGCAGGTCCCCCATGAAAACTACACTGCCAGCTTAACCCCCCACTAATGCCATTAACAGAGATTCACCGGATGTAATTTCCTCCTGTTATTAATAAGAGCAGTTTATATTACAAAGCACGAAGGAATACAAAGGCACAGGAAGCTCCGGTGCCTTCACCATATACTCTCACAGCCACGTCTGAGAAAAGCACCAGGCAAAGTAGAAGGATGCGGTAAAATTCAGGTCTCGACCGTTAGCAGGTTTAAGGTGGTTTAAACATCGGATACAAAAAGCAAGCAATCCGATTAGAGCACCCCTAAAGTAAAACACTTTCGGAAAAAACTAGCTTTTGAGACAGGGGTTTACGGAGGGGGACGCAGAGGCTGTAGCGTGTCCTGCCCGACAAAGCGTGAGCTCCACGGAGCGCAGGGAGAAAGGATCGGTGCTGCTGCATCCCCCGCCGTACTTGGCACTAAGCTCCGGAGCACACGGCCAGGGACGGGATTTTGCCACGGCATGAATTGCTGCTGGGAGACAAAACTGAGAGAAAACAGGGACGTGAGCTCTCTAACCGATAACCCCTGGGAGACAACATCTGCCAGCCACAAACGCATTCTGTGCTGCTGTCGGTCGGAGACAACCACAAGCTGGTAGTGCTTCTGTAGCTACTGCTCTGTTTTCTCCGAACGTACCTCCTTCAGATGCACTGGAAAAACACTTTGCCAAATAAGAGCCACAGACGTTATGCACATGTAAATATATCGACTTCAGAGGGAGTCAGGTTAAGCGTGTACCTGAGCGCCTTTCTAAATCAAGGCTGAAGCACAGACTGTGAATGGGAATAGTGCCTCACGCAACTTTCCTTGCGCTTTGTATAAAATAGTCCTATTGCCTGTAGTTTTGCAGATTCGTCTTTTTTCCTTCATTTATTCATGGTCTAAAAGACTGTTAAGCAAGAGAGCAAGCCCAATGACAACATAACCAATGCCAATATTACAAAAGACAGCCTCGTTCTGCTAAGTAAAAGATCAAGACCAAAGGACACCAACTGGCTCACCTCCACGCTGCTCAGGGCTTATTTAACCCTTGCGGTAGATTTAAGTATTTGCAGCAGTTCAAGGGCAGAGCTGAGGAGACAACTAGCCATTAAAGAGTGTGGGTAATTAGGGTCTAAAACTTTTTCTCTTGCTCTTTTTCTTCTCTGCCTTTCTTTTACTGGCTTTCTTTTATAAGTATCAGATATTCTGCACATTTCCTAGGACCTCAGGAAACATCTGTGACCCTTGTGATTTTCAGGCGTCACATTCTAGGTCTGGGCATAACTTGGTAGCGTGCATATAGTCAGTGTGTGAGACATTTCGTGTAACTTGCTGAAACGCAGCTGCACGCCAGATTCAGCTGCAGAGTAAAATAGAATAGTCCTTGGCTTCTGCAGTCCTCAATGAGTTAATATATGAGACACTCAGGGAAACAACAGAAAATCAAGGATATCTTCATATAATATTGCAGAAGCTCAGGACAATACAAAGAGCAGAACACTTGAAAGCAGTGAAAGCAAGCACTCTAAGTATATATAAGTATTCAGAAAAGTACTTTAATAAACAGCCATTGAAAAAAATTTTACATTAGGAAAAGAAAACAGAGTTGTTAAAAATTCAGGGACATTTATCGGACAGTCACTTCTTGAGGTCATGAATGTAATCAAAGCCTATTACCATGTCAGTAAAGAATTTGCACAAGTACTTTTTACCACATCATTGTTTTGTACAATGTGAAGGAAAAGCCATTCAAGATCGTGAACTAAAAAAATAAATAAATACCCAAGTTCTACAAGGACAAGGACAATGACAATAGGACACACAGTTCTCCTAGTGAATCTTATGCTGATATGTTTTTCTGACAATAAAATAGTGGTTTCTTGCTATTCTGTAACTTCTGCTATTTTTCTGGTTTTACGAAGGCATATATTTTTTATTCATTTTAATTAAATGATATACAATGACCAGAGCCTACAATAGACTTGTGGGGATTTAAGAAGGAGGTAAGGTAGGACAGGTTCCCTCCTCTCTACTTGCAGGTTTGGTGACATCTTACCTCACACAGCCTTGAGGCACACTGAAGGGGAAACTGGGACAATTGCCTATTAGCTTCAAGCCCAGAAGCAGCTCTAAAAATGTTTAGTCATGGAATTTTTTTTTCCTTCTGAAATAATCTATACCTTTGAGAAAGAAAAAATACAGGAAAAATGGGAATACTTTTGGAACTAATAATGTCTGTAAGTAAGCATTTGACTATTTCTCTATTACAGTTTTGTGGAAATTATATGTGTAGGGGAAAATAAAGATGGGAAAAGACAACCACTCTCTCACTATGACTGATATGTTATCCAAATCAATTTTAAATGGAAAACATTATGATTTCTAGAGTTTTGTGAAAGCTAGCAATTTTTGTAATCCTGGCAGACCAATGTTCTCTTTTCCAAATGTACACTTTAACGAAATTCTGTTGAATGCTCCATGGAGAGGAGAAGAACCACGTGGAAATTGCTTTCTAAATATTTCAACTGTTTCTGTGCACCCTGGGACACCCGATGACTTTCATTAATGTAAAACATCAGAAACTATGGATTTGCTTGTCAGTTGACATAGTAGAACTATAAGTCAGCTAAGGCTCTGGTATTATAATTTATCTAGGCATCTTAGGAAGAAAAGCCTTGTTGATACCCTCTGACTTTGGGACATAAGTAAAACTAGAATTCAGACCAGGAAAGACATTATAGAATTGGAATACTAATGTTTCCAAAAGCACTGATGCTTCCAACAGATGCTACATCAATGGTGTGGTCTAGCACAAGATGACCCAGATCCACACTCTTGCTGAATAACGAAACATCTAAGTCACAGACCGCTTAGCCTATGCTGGGGCTTCTAAGAAGCAGCAAGAAAATGACTTGTTCGCATATTTCCTCACTTCAGCCTTTTCTTTCTTTGTTTGTTTCCAGTGTTTCAGCACTGACATAATCAGCAGGTTACTTCATGTAACCCTGAACAACCACAAGATTTGGATATTGGTTTTAAAAGATTTAAAATATATATTTTCATAAGAACTTTGTCTGATGTAATAACTTTCATCATGCCATCACACCTTGATATTATTTTTATGTCTTTTCTTAAGTCATTATTGTCTATTTAAATTTAAGGGTTGAGATATCTTTGCTCATCTTGGTGTGTGAGACCTAGTTAACTGAAATAAATAGTAAAAAAGGAATAGTAAACTTCACAGTACAGGATTTATTAAATTAATTTGCTGAAATTATAAATAGGGTATGATGTCAATCTGTCAATAGGCAAATGCTCAGAATCAAGTGAGAATCAGTTTATTTCATTTCATATGCGATCTGTAAGAGAAGAAAAAGAGAAAGAAGCCATGAAAAAATATAGTGCTTGGGTGGATTATGGAATCCAAGAGACATTGAAGTACCCAGTAAAAAAGACCAAAGAAACCCAAGAATTTCACATTTGAGTCTACAAACTGACTTCTACAGAAGTACCTCTGAAGGAAAAAGTACCTCTAGAATTTCCAACTCATATAATTACCTGGAAACATTGTCCTAGTGAAGAGTTATCCTAAATAAGTCAAATATAAGGAAAGTCCTCCAATGAAAATGAAAGCAGAAGAAGATCTGATATGCTTTGAAACTTGAAAAATATAGCAACAGAAGCTCTGATCAGTATATAATATCATACAACTAAAGAAAAACAAAGTAAATAATTTATTCTTTTAAAAAGACAGGAGACACTGATATGATGCTATAACAAAACTAAGAAGACAGAAATTAAATTTAACCAGGAAATCTCAGCAAATTGATATTGATCAAAATTCTAGGACTAGACAAACAAATTCTTTTCTTATTTAATAGGGATAAAAGTAGCTTAGGTGAACACCAGCAGAAGCTTAATGACTATCGCTGCCAGACTACATCCTAAACTAAAATTCTTCTGTCACTGTAAACACCAATATACAAGCAGGTCATTCTAGGCTTCTTGTTACAGCCAATGAAAAGAAATATGTATTTGTGAAATTTGATTCATCTCCTATGTTGTAAGAAGTATAAAGGAAGTAAGATGTAGATGTCCTTGGCACAGAATCTTTTCTGGATGAGTTCCTCTAATTCACAATTATTTTATCAGCCAATACTTTTTTGGTCTTTTGTGTGTGATGGATAAGATACAACACGACCTACAGCAGCAAGGAGATACAGGCAATGAATAGATGTTCCATTATGTTGAAGGTAAAGAATGTGTGATTCTGACCTTATTAATATTATAGATATATAAATTTACATCTATGCATATAGCTCTTTAGCTGTCTGCAGAATCTGTTGGCAAAGGGGGGTCCCGTAATCTCCCCCCTAGTCCGTGTCAGAACTGCTGTTTCAAATACCACTCCTTCAACTGAAGACTGTATCTAAAAAAACCAGACTCAGAAACTTTTCTGGATTCAGTATTCCCCCCACACTGAAATTATGTCCTGACTCTATATTGCAGTAGGATGTGGACATGCTCAAGGAGAAATATCTGCTTTCTCTTCTCAGACATCCTGGCTTGCCCCCAAGAAACCTGCTCATGTAGGCTGTGTTACAGTGTGCTCCTCCTGGTCCCAAATGTTGTATTCCTCAGGAGATAAACCTGGAAAGCAATTTCTCTTTGCTCTCCTGAAATTTTTCAGAATTCTTGAACCTGTAATGGAGGGGGTTGAAGGAAAACTGAAGATTTTTGCTCATTGAGGAGGTTTCAAGGAAGCTATTCTGTCAATGAAAACTTTTTTCTCTACAACTCTTTTCTTAGCAGTACCCTCAGAACTATGGAGATCTACAGAACATTTATTATTTTGGCTTATTACACAGCAAGAATAAAAGTCAAAGTATGTCACCTTATCCTTTAAAAATCAAGAAGTATTTGCAAATACTAGTAGTACATTTTTTTCCTGGAATGCACTCTCTAAAAAGAAGCTAAGCTTCCCAGAAGAGAAATTTTCAGTATAACCACAACTTCTTACAGCTGTAACAAGTTGGACAATTTGGAATATATTATTCCAGAGTATCTCTGCTGCTAAAATGAATGTTAATGTAAAAAGTAATAAAAAAAGATTACTGAGCATCCCCAATGATGTTGTGCTTCTGAATTATGTGATTTTACAGTCTTCTTCATTAGATTCTACATTTCTCAAAGTCAAACATGTAATTTCATCATTTCCACAAGCAAAACTTAAGATACGGTACTGGATTACATAATTAATGAAAACGACACAATAAAGCACTTAGCTGTGTTCGGCCTATGAGACTACTTGTATGCATGAATTTAAAAACCTCTGCAATTTTGCCCGTAGATGCCTTACATGGTTTTGCCTCGTGATTATGTTCAGCCAGCATGTGTTACCATTCAACTGGGGGAAAACAGATGTTCTCTATTAATTCTAAATCCAGCAAAACTGATTCATTTTATGCTTTAGAATGAATTTATATGCTGCCTTGGGGGTAA